TGGAAAAGCCTGGGAAGATTTTTAAACTTAGTAGACTAAAAATCGAGGTTGTTTGAGGCTTTACTTTACAGAATATAGCACTATGGCCTTGGCCACTTGCCACCTGTTAATTTTCCCCACAGATTTTTTTCTACCTAGAGATTTATTCCCCAGGCTATTTCCCCCCATTTTTTCGATGCATTGTTCTTTCTAGTTTTCCTATTGAATGTTATCCATCTGGTTATTTTCATTATACTTTATAAGAGAGAGAACATATTTTTTTTTAAATTTTTATTTTGTGTTTTCGCTATATCAATTAATTATTGTCTAGTCGTTGTAAGGTTACACTAAAAAGGTGTGCCGATGATACAAAAGCATTATTCGCAATACAGTACTGGTGAAGCCTATATACACATTGGAGAAATGTTTTGAAAGTTTAAATCCGGGTTTACATAAGAAATAGAGGAAAGAAAACAGGATATCTTTATAACATGTTTCCTCTTTTGGAATTTCAATATCACACCTATTTTCTAGTCGTTCTATATACCCATATTTCTCTGCATCAACAAAAAACACTCCAGCAAGTAGCAGAAGTATTATTTCTGTACTTCTACAGTACTTTTGAGGTCAATACTCATTAGTGATTCTCTTCTACGATACACCTACTTTTATTTCAAATTATGTGTTACGGTTGATGGTAGCAAATATGCCTATATCATTAAATATATTTCATTTAATTAATGTTATTTAATTTGTTTATCTATCAGAACATTAGGACAATTTATGTTTTATAAAGTATGTGTATTATATATATTTTTAATGTTTATGTTACTAACGTTTATTATACACCATATGCAATTTCTTATTGTTTAACCAACTAGGATGTGAACAGAATATTGATAATTATGTATGTATTCTTTAAGTTACAGAATTTGTTACCATATATTGTAATAAAAAGTAGAATTTGAAATTACCAAAAACATTATAAAGACTTGCTTAATTACTGGTACTCAGATATTATCTTTTGCTCGTGAGCCCAACTCAAAATAAATGTTGGCCCTTTAAACAAATTAATTAAGAATCAGGGGTATAGGAGTATAACATTAGGGGTAGAAAGAGTGTCAAATGTTAGGAAAGGTTCACCACCGCAGCCTATTCATTTTTTGTTTGTTTGAGTAATGAATGTTTGTGTACATATTTTGGATGCTCAAATTAAACATACATTGAAACTGGAATTGTATGTGGCTTTATTAAAAATATTTTTGTTTATGTACCAGATACTTTCAATAAACACTCCCGAAAAACAGCTTAAAAATGCTCAGATTGTCAGAAACGCCCAGGGGTATCTCCCCAGAACCCCCACCGGGGCCCCGACTCAGGACCCCGGCAGGGGCTCTGCTGGCCGCTGGCCTGCGTTTCAAAAATCAAGTATTTCAATTATTTCAGGTTGGTAACTATGTCATATAGCTGTATTCATATGAGGCTAAATTAAAGAAAACAAACCGTCTCCATGTAGACCTCCTTTGTAAAAATATGATAAAGTTATATTGAAATTATACCTGGTGCAACTCCTTGATAATTTCTTTTAGCTGTTCTTTCATTAAAACTTCCATGGAGATTACACTTAGCCACTATACCATGGAGGAATTAGTTTAGATGATTATACAAAAGGTGACTAATGAACTGTATAAAACCACTCTAATCGGCAGTTTTCTTTTACAACAATTAACCGGATGTGAATAAGAACGAAGTGATTATTAAAGTAAAGTTTCTCCTGATCATTGCAGTAGCAAGAGCCAAAAGATGGAGTCTGTACCATGGTAATAGTAGCGAGTCACTGATATTATATACTGGCTAGATAGCTAGCTGGCTGTGCTCTCTAACCTCGCATGTCCCCTCCTTACCCTTCGAATTACTAAACGTAGGCTATTGTAGGTACTTACGTTGGTTTACTTGATTGCTTAAATGCCTATGAAAATGAAGTTAATTTTGTAACTCACTTTACAGCCTGGTACAGTAGGCCTAACACTCTGGTGGTTGGTACAGAAACTCGATATGCACAATGATACAATAAATCGTAATCAATTGATGAACAATTGGATTATCTTTGGATGTCCGTAAAATACTATAACAGGTTCATCTCATTGCGCACTGCGCAATACTACGATACACTTGTTTTTTCGGTGCATTACGTAATGGGGACTTTCCCTTGGAAATACCCGCATGTAAACAGATATTATTCGGGTACTTACAATTGCTATTAATATCGATTAGCATGTTGCACACAAGTTAAATATAACAGTTCATTGACTGGCAAATTTTAAGTTGACGTGGCTACAGTATTTTCATTCCTCGATCCGACTGTTTGCACTCTCCAAATATCAAGAATGGCTACTCGTGAACTCGGTCACCGGACGTTATTGGATGGTGTAAAAGAGCTTCGCGATCTCGTAAAAACTGAGCAGTTACTACTGGTTATAGGAGAGGGTGAATCTGCCTTGCCCAAGCCAGCTGAAGTTAACAATTGGTGGAAACATGTGCACGCTGATAATCCTAAGGTATTTCTCACACTCTTCCGGGTTACGGCCTGACGTTCATTTATGTCGGGGAATTGATTCAGACTGGGTAGAAACGACCTGTACTTT